GCGGGGGCTCATGTCGCACGACAAGAAAAAGGAGAAGCACATGGCCTCGGGGGGGGGGGGGGGGGTAAAGGCCGGCCGGCGCATAAGGCTGACAACCTCACCGCCATCTGTGAACCGATGGTATAGAAAATGTGGGAACCTCGACGTCTCAAAACACTATGTTCCTTCAAGGCCTCTCACAGAAACAGCTTTGTCTCTTTGTTTTTACTTACTGTGAATAGTTGTATTGTACCTAAGTGCTCCTAAGATGGGGGTTAGCGTTCGTGGAGTCTGCAACGGCGCGGCAGTGTCCCCATGAAAAGCGACATGAAGTTAGTGGAACCGGGACAAACAATGGATGCAGAGGAAGTGGCTGTAGCCTTGTAGTTTCTCAGTTTTATTACAGCCCTTGGCGTACACTAATATTAGTATGTTCGCAAGACGGCTCAGCAAGAAATGAAATATTCCTCACGCTTTGGGTGCCTGAGGCGCTGACACAGGCAGCTGTGGCGTCTTGTTTGGTTAGCCTTACAATCCATTTCTTTGCGGCACATCCAGAAACTGTTCCTATACAAGTCTTACAAATCCTTGTAACTATCCCATTTATGTAACGGATTGATTTCAAATTACAAAGTTCTAAGCCAATCAAATTTGGACCCCTTATATTTGAATAGGTTCATTCTTAACCTGGCGTGTAACATAGGTTTCCTATTTGGCCCGTTTTTCTTTTTCATATAATGTTCCAATGTCCTTGATTTATATCAGAAGTCCCGCCTTTGATGTGATCTTCTGCAACACTAATTTCTATCGATGCCCCCTCGGTAACGGATGCTATTCTCTGTAATTGGCATTTCTATAAGGACGTTGACACTCGTGGTGGCTAATCGACAAACACAATTTCACGAATTATTAATTTTTTCTGTTCGTAATATGTCTTCTTTCATTTATCATGGTAGAGTTTTGACTTGCTTCCAAAACGAAAGTTCCTCTTCTATCATTCTCTGCAGTCTTTGACGAGAGTTACGTTGCGTTATGACAGCCTGTTACAATTTATCGGTTTATATCCATGTAGTGATGGCAAAACGCAAGTGCAGTACTAACGACAGTAGTAAGATCGAATATCTCTGTATTAAAGGAGAGAATGAGAATGTTGAATGCACGTTAAGCAACGCGAAATCTTGCATTGTAGATGCTGGTCAGTCGGACACACTCAATCAAGTAAAAAAAAAAAAGAAACATAAACTGAGTGTTCAAAGCAAAGCTTCCAAAAACAGCATAAGTAACTACTTATGTGTAGTAGGGAAAGGATATACACTGCAGTGGTAAGACCCATAATCACCTATGCAACCACTATATGGTGGCCTAGAGTCAAACTCAAAAGAAGTCAGGCAGAACTTAGCAAACTGCAAAGGGCAGCCTGCTTGGGAATTATGGGAGCAATGTGAACAGCTCCAACAGCTGCAATGGAAATCCTGCTGGGACTCCCCCCACTGCATCTGCAGATGGAAGCAGAGGCCAAGTTAGGAAACTGCAGATTACGTTACAATGATCAATTGAGACTTAATCTGAAGGTTATGGACATGCATACATGACTCAGGACATTAAAAAGGAACCCATCCTACAGATGGGATCTGATAAAATGCTACCAAAACATGTCTATGATAAACCCTTCATGATCAGAATTCATGATAGAAGTGAATGGAAAGAGGGATTTCAACCCAACAGAAAGGGGGGGACTAATCTCTTATACACATGGTTCCAAGACAAAGAAAGGCACTGGAGCTAGAGTGTATTGTGATGAAACAGGGTAGAAACATAGTTTCAGCCTTGGTCAGGATACAACAGTATTCCAGGCCGAAGTGTATGCCATTAAGGCATGTGCAGTTGAGAATTTAGATAGAAACTACAAACATAGGAATATCTATATGCTATCAGGTAGTCAAGCTGCAATCAAAGAACGTGGCACACACCAATTCACTTCAAAATTGATTTGGGACTGCCACCAATCCCTCATACAACTGGCCAGACATAACAGAGTTCAAGTGATATGATTTCCCGGTAATGAGGGAATTGCTGGGAATGAAACCGCAGATCAGCTGGAAAGAACAGGACCTGAACATCTGAAATAGCTTGCGGCATCTCAGTAGGAGCGTATTGCTGGGAATGAAACCGCAGATCAGCTGGCAAGAACAGGACCTGAACATCTGAACCAGCTTGCGGCATCTCAGTAGGAGAGTATTGCTGGGAATGAAACCGCAGATAAGCTGGCAAGAACAGGACCTGAACCAGCTTGCGGCATCTCAGTAGGAGAGTATTGCAGAGAATGAAACCGCAGATCAGCTGGCAAGAACAGGACCTGACCCAGCTTGCGGCATCTCAGTAGGAGAGTATTGCAGGGAATGAAACTGCAGATCAGCTGCCAAGAACAGGATCTGAACCAGCTTGCGGCATCTCAGTAGGAGGGTATTGCTGGGAATGAAACGGCAGATCAGCTGGCAAGAACAGGATCTAAACAGCCGTTCATAGGACCTGAACCAGCTTGCGGCACCTCGATTGGGGTTGCCAAGAAAGAGATCAGGGACTGGACTAACAGAAATGACAAAAAACATTGGGATTCCATAACTGGACTCAGACAGACAAAATGATTTATATCAGGACCCTCTGCAAAAAGAACGAGGGACCTGTTAAAATTAAACAGAGATCAACTAAGATGTGTGGTAGGATTACTTACTGGACACATTACCAAACTGGGACTGACAGATGACCCAAGTTGTGAGAGCTGCCTACAAGTAGATTAATCAGCCACACACATCCTGTGTGATTGTGAGGCTATAGCTTATTTAAGACATCGTCACCTGGGTCAGTTCTTCATGGAACCAAGTGACTTTTATGACGCCCTCGTAAACAAAGTCCTACATGCCATTCGAAGTGTAAGATTAACGGTTAATCCAAAGGGGAAGCACAAAAGATTATTGAAGGTCGCAGTGCGAGAGCCAGTTTTATGGCTCACCCCTCATACTCATACTCAAGAAGAGGAAATGGAAGAATAAACTGCACTACAAACTGCAAGGAAAAATATCAAACAACTTGACTGGTATAGGTTGCCTGCACATGCGGTGCAGACTGCTGCGGACTGCTTACCTATTGAGCTCCAGTTAGTAATTAAGAAGATTTAACAGCATTTCCACATTTATTCTGTACGAGCTGAGGAAGGGAAATCATGTTGTGAATTCACCGAAACAGGTTATGCAACTCTTTTGGGTCATAGCAAGACGAGATGGCTGTCCCTCTTTCCTGCAGTATTTTCCACGCATTAAAATATTGTTTGTTTTTCCTCTGAGATGTGTCCAGTTAGCCTTCAGAATTTCTTTGAAAATACATATTTCCTTGCCATCCAATTAAAATCTGTTCCAATAACATAAAATGTACTGAAAAGTAAGATACTGCAATAATTGAAGCGAATAATGAAACAGAATACTACTAGACTAGTGAAACTGCATGCAGACGGATTTCTTACAACTGCTGTGAGAGATCAACAGCAAGAACTAGAAAAGAGGACACATATCCACTGAAAACTTTAATGACTATGGACAAGACTTCTATGATACCTGCATTGAATATAATGAGTAATGGTGTATGTCGTTTCCTATACCTCTTCAGCCTGTGGATTGGATCAATTTGAAGAGTGTACAAATTAACTGTATTTCCATTAAGCCTGTGGCTCCTGATTTGTCACCGAATGAAGATGAATTCTTTGATGAGTTTTCTTGTGTAAAAAACATTGTGAAAGTAAATTGGAAGTGTGAAATAAAAAAAAAA